GAGCAACCTGGGCTGGTGGAAGGTGTCCCTGCCCCTGAGATGGAATCAGATGATCCTTAAGGTCCTTTCCAACCCAGACCATTCTGTGATTCCATAAAACCCACTGCTAAAAGGTCCAACAAAGCAAAAAGGCAAATTCTTAATTCCATCTGCAGAGAAAGGTCCAGACATTTTGCAGCCCAGAAGATCTGGAACCACAAACTGAGCAGTTAAAGACAGGAGATCACAGATGAAATGCCATCTATTTAATGCAAGGAGGAAAATGGGATGTCATCCTCTAATTAAAGGTGAGGTACAAGGGCCACGTGGGTGAACCAAGGTCACCCAGGTTTGGAAGTACCACACTGCCCAGCTGGGAGTGTTTTAGTGGTGATAAAAAAGAGGAAAAAACACAAGCTGAGATGGCCAGAACGTGAACTAAATGTTTTCTTGGATTCCCTGAGGTTTATCCACACTTACATATTAAAACTTTGAGGAAATAACCAGTAAAACACAAACCTCACAGAGAGAAATACTTTCCCCGCCCCGTTTTTTTTCTCCACGGGTAAAAAATGGTTTTTTTGATGATTATTCCCCAAAAGCATTTTGGTTTTCCTTCACCAAATGTCGCAGATTCCCATTTTAGAACAAATAAAAACATATGGAAAGGTCTGTCCTTGAAAGGGAGCTGTAACAACAAAACAAACCCAAAGCCCTCAATATGGCAGAAGGAGAAATAACCTCTCTCAGCTTGGAGGTGTTTGTCTTTTAAAATGTAAAAATCTCCCTTCTGGAGGTGAAAAAAACTCCCCAAAACAAAGAGAAAATGAAATGATTGCCCTAATTTTTTTTTCTCTATTTTATAAACATTACATAAATGAGACACTTAATTTGCCTGGGCTAACAAAGCACTTGCAAGAACCCTCTAGTCATACTGCTTGAAAAATAAAGAATATGTGTGTTATACATGTGTTATAAAGATATATAACAGAAAGATCTGCAGAAGAAGCAAAATAAAGATTATATATAATATATGTATTATATATGTGTTATAAAGATATCTATTAGAAAGATCTGCAGAAGAAGCAAAATAAAGATTCTATATATATGTATTATATATATGTATTATATATGTATTAT